ATCGACAGAAGTGATGTTGACGGATCCATATCCCAATCTAATTGGGATATGGTGAAGCAAAAACTTATGGGAGTGTTCTGGAAAGTTCTCAGAGAGAACCCAGGCACTCCTCCCCAATGCGATGATGCGGGATGGTTCCAGGGTCACGTGAAACTCATGACTTGTGCAGACGAACGCTCAGCGTTGCTGCTCAAGTCTGCTGTTGCATTGCTGGGTGAGGTATGGGCTGGATCGAAGCTTGAAGTGGTGACTCCTGAGGAGATACCACGCAGTGACTCCAAAGGCGATCCCTCTCCGAAGGTGGAAGCAGAGGATGTAGATGCCGTGCAGTCGGTAGAAGGCACGGAAGGCAACCAAGCCACCGATCCTTCTGATAAAGAAGGATGAGGTGGTTGACGATGACGAACCCCTGGAATTATCTCAGGAAGTCGTCAACGTCACAGTTGTAGAAAAGGATGGTGAGATTGACTCAAATCAATCTTCACCACTCTAAAGCAGCTTCCGCTGCACTGCTCCTCCGAGTGGCACAAAGTGGGGAGAAGCTAGTAATGGTCCAAGAACCATGGATCCATCAGGATCGGGTTTGCGGACTACACCTTAAGGGCTATAAACTCTTATATGTTAAGAACTCAGGTAAAGTACGATCCTGTATACTGGCTAAAAGCTCCTTGCATATCTTCATTCTCTCTGATTTTAGTGATGAAGATACTGTTGCAGTGGCACTAGAGCATGACGGTGTAACGACATGGCTTATTTCAAGCTACATGGCCCACGACCACGGAGACAGCCCACCCAATAATTGCGTCCGTAGTTTGGTAGATAAGGCGAATTAGCACAACATCCCCATTATCATATGTGCTGACGCCAACTCGCACCACAACATCTGGGGTAGTAGTGACACCAACACTAGAGGTGAGCAACTTTTCAATTTCATTCTCAGGAGAAATTTAGAAGTAGTAAATAGGGGTTCAGAACCCACCTTTATTGTATCTAACAGAAGAGAGGTACTAGATATAACGCTTGTGAGTGCTGAGCATCGCAGGTGTATAACAAACTGGACTGTTTCTAATGACTGTTCTCTATCAGACCATCGGTATATTGATTTTACAGTTGGTACTATAAAAGTGAATACTACTAGTATTCTTAACAGAAGGAAAACGAATTGTGAGGTTCAAAATAGTATGCTTTCCATTTCTCTTATGTCTCCCCCTACTATTGAGAGTACGGAGGATATTGGTACGGCCGTTGCAGAACTAACAAAAGCTTTCCGCTCGGCTACTAATATTGCCTGTAAACCTTCCGCCAAGAGAGGAAAATCAAAGCCTCCGTGGTGGAATCTCGACATTGCGCGCGCTAGAAAAGAGTGTCGTAAGCTGTTCAATGAGGCCAAGAGATCAAATAACTGGTCTCCCTATAAGTCCTCTGTGAACCACTTTAAGAATATGATTAGGAACGCGAAGAGGAAGGCATGGAGGGACTTCTGCTCTAATGTTGAAGGATCCTCTGAAACCAATCGACTTCGTAAGATTCTGTCAACTACACAGGCTGTACCGAGTTACATTCAAAAACCCTGTGGTAGTTGAACTACGTCTAGCAGGGAATCTCTTGAAGTCCTGTTGGATACTCACTTTCCGGGATGTCAGCCCATCGAAGATAATGGAATAATGACTACCCTGGATCACAACACGACAAATCCCAGCTCTGTTATCATCAATAGAGAGAGAATTTGTTGGGCTCTTAACAGTTTTGATCCATATAAATCACCGGGTCCTGACGGTATTATTCCAGCAGACCTTCAGAAAAATGAAGATCTTGTGATACCATGGCTGCTTTTAATTTACAAGGCATGTCTAACAACGCTGTATATTCTTAGTACGTGGATGAGGTATAACGTTGTTTTCATTCCCAAAGGAGGGAAAGCATCACATACCAAACCTAAGGACTTCAGATCAATTAGTCTAGCGTCCTTTGTGCTCAAGACCCTAGAACGGGTTATTGATGTCCATTTGAGAATGACCATCCCACCGGAACGAATCTCTAAATCACAGCATGCATACACTAAAGGTAAATCTGTTGAAACAGCTCTTCATTCACTAGTTGGACATATTGAACGTTCGCTACTGTATAAGAAGTACTCTCTTGTCGCCTTTCTTGACATCGAAGGTGCCTTTAATAATGTTGAACCCAGTGCCATCCTAACTGCGCTAGGAGGACTGGGTTGACTCCCAGACTCAGTTGCTCATTGGGAAGCTATTGAGCAATAGGGTCATTAGTGCCACAATGGGGGGAGTCTGCGTCTCGCGACTTGCCAATCGTGGCACTCCTCAGGGGGGAGTTTTGTCTCCCTTACTGTGGAACGTGGCTATGAATACTCTACTGTCTGAAATGGATAGCAGAAGAATTACGACTGTCGCTTATGCCGACGATGTGGCAGTGTTGATATCGGGTAAATTCCCCGATACAATATCTCGTTGTATGGAAACTGCTCTTAACTTATTGAGTAAATGGAGTGTTTCTTGTACTGTAGTGTTCTTCAGGCAGAAATATCTGCTATTAAAAGAGCAGCGAATTGGCTAAGGTATTATCACATATCGGGGGATATATGTATATATACTGACAGTAAAGCTGCTATCAAGAATATAGCGGGCGTCTTCACGACATCTAGGTTAATCAGAGAATGCCGGGTATCTCTAAATGAGATAGCGAGAAATTCTAGGATAACGCTAATATGGGTCCCTGGCCATGATAAATGTCAGGGTAACTGTATAGCTAACGAACTAGCCAGGAAAGGTACAATGATGGCTGAGGAGGAAATAGACGCCTTTACTGGTATTTCCCTTACAAACTGTAAGGCACTTGTTCTTAATGAACTATATGGGAAAGCCCAAATCAGGTGGTTCAATGAAACCACCTGTCAAGTCTCGAGGTCCATTTGGCCTCTATATGATGCCAGCAGATCAAGACTACTTATGAGCTTCCGAAGGGAGCAGATACGGACTCTTGTATCAGTAATCACAGGACACTGTGCCATTGGCACTCACGCCAGGAGACTGGGTCTTGGATATAATGACTACTGCAGAAGTTGTCATAATGAGGAAGAAGATGAAACGATATCACATCTTCTTTGCTTTTGCCCCACGTTTACCGAGAGTAGGGAGAATCACTTTGGAGCTCCCTTTCTGGCTAGTATGGAGGAGCTTTCAGGGATAGGCTTGAAGAATATCCTATGCTACATAAAAAAAATTTCGTACAAGTATTGCTCTTATATACAGATATGTTACTCATTACTAAATCCATATAACATTTGGTACACGTATCGCTCTTATATACAGAAATGTTACTGTGAAATTTTTTTCTGGTCGGTCTATAATTGGTCATATCTCCCATACTAGTCCAGGTCTCAGGCAAACTTTTTGTGGGAAACTTTTGATTTTTGTGTATTTTTGTAAATACATACATGCAAATTATTAAATATCGCTAAAACATATCTTAGGGCGCTATAAAAATATAAAAGAAAATGGCGTTTGTAATGTTCAATAAATCTTGTAATTGCAACAGATTTAAGCTGTCCAACTCTTGAGGTTTTTCTATTTAAGACATGAGAAAACTTATTTCTACAAATATTTAATCAATTAAAACAGTATTAATATAAAAGTAGCTGGTGGAGGGTATTTAAGATTCGGCTCAGCCGAATAAAGCACTCTAACTTGTTTTAAAATAACTTTATCTCACTTTTCACACAAAATTTTGTTTAATTTTCCTAAACTAGAGAAAAATATTTTTTTCTAATTATTGACATTTCATTTTTGTTGTTGTTGAATTTTAATTTACAAACAGAGTTTCAATTTTTGGTATTGAAAATTCGAACAAATTTAAAATTGTAACTTTTTATAAAACTCTGTGTGTTGAGAATGCACCAATACATATATATTTTTGTTACTAACACATATTTAGAGTTAGGTACTTTTTCACTGACACATGCTTAGAGTTAGGTACTGCTGTCAAAGAGTCGGACTACTTGTTATACTTTGGTGTAGACATTAAGGAAACTTCAAAAGAGAATTAAGAAAAAGTTTCCGATGTGGACCAGGTCTACAAAAAAAAAACAAGTTTCCGAGTACGATAAATTCCGTACCGAGAGGAGATGAATATTTCTTTCTCTTTCTCTATCACGCAAAATCAAAAGTTTCCTAGTTTAGATTATCCCATCCGTTCTCTTCTGCACAATATTTTGACAGATCGTATTACTTGTGGTATAATGTATAATGTCCGTTATATATGAAATAATGTCCGTTATATATGAAAATATATAAATATTCGATGGCATTTTAAGAGAAATGGTAGGTGATAGAGAAAAACTAAAAATACATTAAAATCAGTCGAATTGGTTTCAAAAGTTTTCACAAACCTTCAATTCGTTGGCCTGTGTAATTATATTAATAAGAATATAATAATATCACTTTTAAAGTGAAAGGAGTTGGAAGCAATGCCGAGGGTGGAGTAAATTCTGTATCTATTGAGGATCCATAAATATTGTTCTAACCGCTTCTCTATGTCCCATCATTCTATAGGATGACCTAATCAAAAGGCAGAGACGACACTAAAATGCTAAAACACGTTCTGTCACTGGTAGCTTTCGCCGAAATTAGATTCAAATATCTTGGGAGCGATGTTATTTCAATTAATTCATCCTTCAGGAACACCGATTGGAAAACCCAAGAAACTACGTCTAGAAAACCAAGTTTCTGAACATTAGATTATAATTCTTCTTATCTAAGTTTACATTATCTAGGACATAATCTCTCTAAATATAAGTCCAATCAAGAATACAAAGAAATTACCTAATCATTTTAGTCTGCCATCTAAAATCTCTAAAGCAATGTACTGGGGGAGAGTCATCAAACAACTTATTTTAATTGCTTTAAGTAACGAAATGATAAAATTTATTTTAAACAAAAATAATATACATATATGTTATTGTAAGTCTCATTTTAAACCTTTAACAAACGTCATCCAATTTTAAATCTCAAATCATTTATTTTTTTACTTTTAAAAATCTAATTTATCTTTAAGGCCATGGGCAAGAGACTCATCTTTGAAGCACTTTCCGTACTTTTCGGCAGCTTCACAGTGATCAGCAGGAACATCAATGCCACTGCAAGCATCAATTATTTCTTGAGCAATCTTCATTTTATCTTCGGCACCATCTGTATATTTTTCAGCATGTGATACAGCAACTTCTTTAACAAATTTACCATTATTATCCATCTGAAAGGCGAGAAAAATATTAAAATAAAGAATGTCTGTGGAAAACAATCACTTACCACTTCATATTTCTTCATGAGACATGAGCGTAAACATTTTCCTTCCATGGTCGAGGCAGGTTTTTTACCCACTAATTCTTCAACATCAACTGAAAATAGAAAATTAATTTAGTTGATATAAAATTCTTAAAAATAATAGCAGATATAAATACGTACCATCCTTGGCTCCAACTTCAGCTTTGCAATCATCCATTTTAGCCATAAATCCGGCTATAGCTTCTTTCTTATCAAATCCTTTAACTAAAACAGCTCCAAAAATACAGAAAACTGCCAATGTTACATAAAGTTTTGCCATTTTAAATTTGTTTTTAAAGTTGTATATACTAATTTAATAAGTTGAAACCGTTTTATTGTTGTTTTAAAACTGATACTTTTTACCAAAAATTTTCATCTATTTATATGAAAAATATAAATGCATATTTTAATTAAAATCCTATTGTCAAAATATTTAAATGATATTATTACAATTCAATAATTTTCATTAACAGTACCTGCTTAGTATTTAATTGCATGTTTCTACGTCTGGAGTAATATGCTCTTGCATCTGTGAAATTATACGTTACGCACGAAATAATTTGAAGCCGAAAACATATGACTTTTTTTTTTATTATTGACCTTCAAACTTTTTTTTAAATGTGAATACTAAACAGTTATTATTGATTAACAATAAAAATTGTTTTAACAAAATTTTAATTAAGTATAATAAATTTGGAAAGCGATGTGAAAATTTTCTAAATGGGATGTATTTTAAGAAATTTCCTAATGAAATTTTATTTTAAGGATTATTATACCCTTCACCTTCGTGAGAAGGGTAATTATAAGTTTGTCATTCCGTTTGTAATTTCCAAAATATAATTTTCCGACACCATAAAGTATATATATTCTGAATCCTTATAGATAGCGGAGTCGATTAAGCCATGTCCGTCTGTTTGTCTGTTGAAATCAGTTTTCTGAAGACCCCAGATATCTTCGGGATCCAAATCTTTAATAATTCTATCAGACATGCTTTCAAGTAGTTTCCTATTTAAAATCAGCAAAATCCGTTCATAAACAACGGAGATATAAGCAAAAATCCGAGACAACCTCTGAAAATTTCATAAAAAAAACCAACAACAACACTGCTTATTCATTGCTTTTGTATTTTGTTTTTGTTTTTTTTTTGAGTATTTCGTTTCGTATGTTTGGATGGCTGTGTGTTTCATTGCCTTGTGTATATTGTTTTTGTTTTCATGGTGTATTGAATTTCGTATGTTTGGATCAGAGATACAAGCCGATGCTAAATGATCGGCGGCGCAACCATTTTAGGTCGGCGGCGGCGGCTTATTATGGAAAATATCGGCGGCGGCTAAATTGTCGGCTCAATTTAACTTTTTCTTTAGAAATTGACCTTATACGCGTTTATTATATTGAAAAATCTCTGTATAATAGTCTGTTATATAGAAACCTGTCTCTATATAAGTTTTTTCTGCAGAAAATGGACATTATTATAGTAGTTTTCACTTTTTTAATATTAGCACAACGTTGTGTGGCAACTCTTTCAAATTTACATAAGAATTTAAAATGGTGGCAACTCCGTTCGAATTGGTGAAATTATTTTCTGAAATACATGTGCAATTCCAATCTTTATCAGCGGCTACGTTTAAGCCGGCTTAGCTTTTGAGCCGAAAGAATTAGGCGGCGGCGCGGCTTGCAAAATATTACCGGCGGTCAGCCGCCGCCGATTTGAGCCGTCTCGGCTTGTATCTCTGGTTTGGATGTCTGTTGGTTTCATTGCGTTGTTTATTTTGTTTTTTTCTGTATTTCGTTTCGTACGTTTGGATGTCTGTTGGTTTTATTGCCTTGTGTATTTTGTTTTTTGGGTGTTTATTTTTTAGCGTTGTTGTTGTTCATTATGTTTTGCTATTGCTATAATAATGATATTGTCGGGAAAATTTATTTTTAAATACACTATGGTGAAGGGTATATAAGATTCGGCACAGCCGAATATAGCACTCTTACTTGTTTTTGTTATAAATTTCAGTTCATTTGGGTCATATGTGATACCCAACATATTTAAGGGCTTGCTTTAAGAGCTAGTTTATACGAGTACACAAGTAATATGATCTATTAAATTTTGTGTAGAAGATATGGGTGTTTTATGTAAACTCATAGAAAAATAGTGAAACAACTGTTTTCATTCTTTTTTGTTATTTTTTAACGAATGGAATTTTATCTTACTTTTTCATTAGACTTTACGTACGTAAAATTATCAATATCTTTCGATTTCTTTATAACAATATTCGATTAAATTTTTAAAGTAGTTTAATTACCAATAATATAAAAAAATTTATTTGATAATTATTTTGTTATATTCTATGCATCACAACTATTTATAAAAGCGACATTGAAAATAGTCAAAACCATATAAATTTAAAAAAAATTAAGATTTTACAATATACACATCGGATAAAAAACATACTCGGTGCTCCTTGTTATATGTACATACCCAGCAAAAACTTGGTAATGACTTGTACTTACTCAACAATATACTTTTCAATGACAAAGCGAAGTCCCTGGTGCGTATTCTCACTTGCTGTTTTTATTATTAAGCGTCCAGTTTTCTTTGAATGGTTCCGTTTTAAGTATGTCATCTTCTGGTGGCACATGTTTAGGTAAGCCGTAGCCAAAAAATGTCTAAGTTTTCAAATTATAAAAAATAATTTAATCAAAATGGTTATATCAAAATGATGAATATGATGTAGCATTTCGTTCCCTAACACATCTGAAAAGACATTCGACGCTTTTCCAGTGACAAACGACATCGACCGATTGTCAATTTTAATTGCTTGGAAATGGCTGTTCCTGAAGCCTCTAAAAGCTGAAGATACTAGAGAGTTGTAACTGAACAACCCTCAGCGATCTTGGGTAATGAGAGAAAAATACGGAGGCTTAATTAAGAACCGATTTGTGGATTTCCCTCAATTGATACCTTTTAACGTTTACACTTTAAAATGTTTTTCTCGTTTTTTAATCAAAGGTCTCACGACACAAGGCCAACAGAGATGGCGCAGTTTCTCTCACTTTCCTGAACACCAACAGATATTAATACATATAAATAAAACCACTACTATAGTAAATAACCTATTAGTTTACTCTATTTTTATACCCTCCACCACCATCAGTGGTGATAGAGGGTATATATAACTTTGTCATTCCAAGAAATATTCATCTGAGACCCAACAAAGTATATATATTCTGGGTCCTTATCAAATTCTGAGTCGATTTAGCTATGTCTGTCGGTCTGTGTAAAACACGCTCACGATAAAACAAAGCAATAGAATTGAACCAAATTCATCCAAAATGTTCTTCATTTTCCTAAGTTGTTTGGTATTGAAAATGGGCAAAATCGGTTCACACCGGGAAAAGTTATGAATCAAAATTTAAAACAACCTCGGAAAAAAATAAGCATTTTTTACACACTCTGATGTAATTTTCTCGAAAACTATGCAAGATAATTCCATGGAAATCACCATACATTCGTTTCTGCACAAGATCTTGATCCCTGCTGAAAATTACTATAACCGGTCCAAAATTTCATGTACCTCCCATACAAAACTACATATTCCCGGAAAATGGGTTTTTTGTTAATAACTTCTGCCACAATGTTGATATCTTCACAAAATTTTGCGAATTAAAGTCTTATGTCAATAGAATTCTTACAGAGAAAAAATTTTTTGCATCGGTCCATAATTGGACATAGCTCCCATACAAGGTCCCCTCCCGAAAATCATTTAAACGCGCATAACTCATTACCAAATTAAGATATCCATATAAAATTTGGTACGAGCATTGTCCATATGCATAGAAATATTACTGTGAAAGTTTTTTTTTCCGATCGGTCCATAATTGGTCATAGCTCCCATACAAGGTCCCCTCCCGAAAATCACTTAAACGCGCATAACTCATTACTAAATTAAGATATCCATATAAAATTTGGTACGAGCATTGCCCATATGCATAGAAATATTACTGTGAAAATTTCTTCCTATCGGTCCATAATTGGTCATAGCTCCCATACAAGGTCCCCTCCCGAAAATCACTTAAACGCACATAACTTTATATACATAATTGGTCATAGCTTCCATACAAGGTCCTTTTACAAAAATCTCTTAAACGCACATTACTCATTACCAAATAAAGCTATTGATACAAAATTTGGCACAAATATTAGTTTTGTATACAAAAATTCTATTTCAAGATTTTTTCACGATCGGTTCCCTTCAGAAAATCACTTAAACACACATGACTTATTACTAAATTACGATATAGATACAAAATTTAACTGAAATATAGCTTTTATGTACAGAAATTTTACTTAAAGAATTTTTTACGATCGGTCTATACTTGGTCATATCTCCCATACTAGGTCCTTCCCCTAAAAGCGCTTTAACCGTATTTAACTAGTTGCATTATCAATTTGTGTAGAACAAAATTATATATATGTATTTTGAAAATCTAAATATTACTAAGCCCTATAAAAATATAAAGAAAATGGCGTTTGTAATGTTCAATAAATCTTGGAATTGTAATAGATTTAAGTTGTTTAGATCTTGGGATTTTTATATTTAAGACATGAGAAAACTTATTTCTACAAATATTTGATGAATTAGAAAAGTATTAATATAAAAGTAGCTGGTGGAGGGTATTTAAGATTCGGCTCAGCCGAATATAGTACTCTAACTTGTTTTTTTTTTAATAGAAAAAAATCGAACTAGACTCAGCCTCAAAGGGATTACTTAGTTCCTGCAAGTAAAATGAATAAGAATAAAAAGTAAAATGAATAAGATCCCGAAAGAAAAAAATATGATCAGAATCCTCACTATAGTTTGAGGAATTAGAAGAAAGTTCTAATTCTGCACGGGGCTACGTCCTACATTATTGCACAGTTCGCCGTGGAACTTATTTGTTAGCGATTTCAATCTGAGACCTTGAATTCTCAACATCTTCGCAAAATCTGTAGAAGTACGGTGAGGTATTATCCTACTTATTGATGAAAACGCTAACTATATAGTCCAAAAAATCAAGTCTTCAGCTTAGATGATGTACAATCCATTCTACTGTTCCAGGAATAATGTCGTGGAATCAATCGGAGATCAACGTATAATAGTGAGAAATGTACGGTTTTAACCTCCTATTTCCATCATGAGGATCAAGATTTGAACCTAATCTATTTAGTCAGGTCATCAGAATCCTTAAGGGCTGTTCAAGAAGGGACACCTTTGAACTAAATTGAGCATCTACCTATAGGTACCGCTCTCATGTACGTACTACATATGAGTATCAATTGAATCAAAAACAAAACTTATCGTAGGTCACCAAACATACTCATATTTTTGGTGTAACATATAATTTCATAGTTGAGGAAGTATATTTTAAATTTTTGGTTAAACATGAACTAAAATAGTGTTAATAAGTTTTAAGCCAGCAATTATTATCGTATAAATACACCAATAGTTTAGCTAAAAGTTATCAGTTTTGATTTAACATTCAAACAATTCGAGTGTAAAAACTACAATATTTTTTTAAAAATGGCAAAACTTTTTGTAATTTTGGCAGTTTTCTGTATTTTTTGGTGGTGTTTTAGTTAAAGGATTTGATAAAAAAGCAGCTGTACAGGCATTTATGGCTAAAATGGATGACTGCAAAGCTGAAATTGGAGCTAATGATTGTTAGTAATATTTGTTTAACTCCTGTATGTATATTTTAAAAACTTATTTATATTAAACTTTCAGCTGATGTCGAGGAATTAGTTGGCAAGAAAGCTGCCTCTACTATGGAAGGCAAATGTTTACGTTCTTGTCTCATGAAGAGATATGAAGTAGTAAGTTGACATTATATACACATATAAACAAGTAATTTAAATAAATACTAATTATTTTTTCCACGCAGATGGACAATAATGGAAAATTCCTTAAAGATGTTGCCTTAACACATGCTCACAAATACACTGATGGCTCTGAGGAAAGAATGAAAATTGCTCGTGAAATAATTGATAACTGTAGTAGCATTGCCGTCTCAGATGATCATTGTGAAGCTGCCGAACAATATGGAAAATGTTTCAGTGATCAAGCTAAGGCTCATAACATTAAGGACGATTTTGATTATTAAACACAATTTAATTGATTTTGGAGAATGACAATGGAAATTGAAATGTTTGTTATGTGTTAGTTAGAGAACTATTGTTTCAATAAAATGCAATTTAAATAAATGTATGAGTTTCTTGCCTTGTTATACATATGTTTACCTGTGCCACTTACAGCTGAAGTAATCTTGCAAGATTTCTGTAGCTGGTACATCCTGATTTACTAAGTAAAATATGCACCCTTCATTTACAAAAAGATTAACTCCCTCAAACAAAAAGTGAACAAGATTTAAATAAAGAATGTTACAATGTTACAAAAAGTTAAGATTGAATGGAAGATGTACAGGTGCATATTACATCAGATCGAATTACATATCGCTAACAGGCATGTTGTGCTAATGGGAAATGCTAGTGGTGAAAATGGTGATCTATGAAATGAACGAAGTGCCTTAGAATTTTCCAATCAGTATTGCTGGGGTATATAATTTTGGGAATAATATTTCTCCCAAGAAATTAGAATCTAATTTTTAATGAAATTCTGGCAATGACAAAGAAAGTGTTCCGGAGTTTTACATTCCTTTTCGCATGCTTTACATTCGTCAAAATTCGTTCGCCCAATATTGTTTGACTGTGTCCGGATATACATATGTATACGTTGTTCACTAAGAATACAAACCACTATACAAACTTGATCATTTTAAGGAGGCTTCTCATTCTGCTTTTGTTGGGGTTACTCCATAGGATTTTAATTATGTCAACTGGCCATATAGGATTCTCTCACAAATCATTGTAATTCAGCCCTCGTTGCTTCGAACGATCTTGCAGTCGTCAGGTTATCATCCATCAATTACCTTCCCTATATAACAAGTACATTCATTGCCGATCAGTTATAGCTTTCTTACAATCCAATACTGTATTATTTGTAACCTTATTAGCTGATGTCGCCGAATTGTCATCTGGTTGTCGGAAATTGTGTTAACCTCTGTCGGTACCATTTTCAATCAAATCATATTTACATTCCGAGTTTAAGTCTGAAACCTAGTTTTAAATGTAAATACATAAGCCCATTTTGTCAACCATTTTAAAGCCATTCGTATAACAATGGATTCTATCAGGGGTTTGTTTCAAATATATCCAGTATACATTGATGATAAGAGCCACCTCATATCTTATATACGATTCGATCAGGAGAATATCCAGTAAAGTTTCTAAAGCTGTCACTTATAGTTATTGTTGAAAAAAGTTCAACAGGTTTTTGAAGTTTAAGTTAGAATCCAACTATTAGTAGTACCTTCCTAGATCCGGCTATATACATATAGTCATAAAATGTTTAATCTAATCGAGAGAAATCGAAACTCTTTTGATTGCTTCAATAAGTTCGTCTCTACTTTCATATTGTTTACCAGAAGCATACTTTCCGGATGAATCATCGAAAAACGTTTTCTATAATATTAAGGTCTGGAGAGTACGGAGGTCAATTAAGAGTCATGACATTTTGTTCTTGAATCCATGACAAGAAACGTCCATGATAATTTTCTAAAAAGGCCATTTATTTAAGGAAAAGACTGTTAAAGCCAACTTTTATAACAGTTTATGATAATGTTTTTCGATAAAAATTACAAATCACAAGTGTCACAATAAGGAATGGCACCGCAAACCACAATGCCTACTTCTCGACTATGTAATCGGTTTAAATTACGTTCTTCATTGCGGAGATCATGAAAATATTTTTATTATTAGAATGGAGTACCAGAATCTAGTTCATTTTATAGTGTGACCTTGAAAAATTTTAAATTTGTTTAAACTACTTTTTATTAGTCACCAATTATAATGTACAAAATTTTGTATTAACATGTGAATCAACTATAGTTTGAAACTTAACATATCGTAAATCATATTTTTGGTTAAAAGATTTTCCAGGCGTAACTTATAATTTCACAGATGAAGAAGTATATCGTTTTAGATATTTGGATAAAACATGCGATAAATTTTCTACTATTCAATATATTAGTTTTGTATGAAATTTGTTGTATTGTCAAAAAAAGTTTTAACAATAAAGCAGGAACTATTATCATATAAATATGACAATAGTTTTGTTAAAAGTTATAAGTTTTGAATTATCACTCAAACGATTCGAGTTCACTTGTGAATAATAAACAACATTTAAAAAATGGCAAAACTTTTTGTAATTTTGACAGTTTTCTGTATTTTTGGAGGTGTCTTAGTTAAAGGATTTGATAAAAAGGCAGCTGTGGAGGCATTTCTGGCGAAAACGGATGATTGCAAAGCTGAAGTAGGAGCTAAAGATTGTTAGTAATATTTGAGAAAAAAAGATTATTTTGTTGGATTTTGAACTTATTTTTATTTAAATTTTAGCCGATGTTGAGGAATTAGTTGGCAAGAAAGCTGCCTCTACTATGGAAGGCAAATGTTTACGTTCTTGTCTAATGAAAAAATATGAAGTGGTAAGTTTCCATATACAAATACGGATAAATATATACATATGAATATACATATGTACTTATTAAATATTTTCCCATACAGATGGATAATAATGGTAAATTTCTGAAGGATGTTGCCTTAACACATGCTCACAAATACACCGATGGCTCTGAGGAAAGAATGAAAATTGCTCGTGAAATAATTGATAACTGTAGTAGCATTGCTGTCTCAGATGATCATTGTGAAGCTGCCGAACAATATGGAAAATGTTTCAGTGATCAAGCTAAGGCTCATAACATAAAGGATGATTTTGATTATTAAAAAATTGAATTTGGAAATTTAAAAGTTTAAACATGTATTAGTTTTTAAGTTATTTTTGTTTCAATAAATTGCAAGTTAACTGAATTCATTTAATACTCCTTATTATAGTATTTGCCAGCTTTATCAGTGTTTAAAAATTTGAAATCTTGAACTTAACCTAAAATTGTTACTCTACTTTCTTATTAATTTTTAGAAGAATTTACCAAAGAATTTACAAACATAGGAAGTGCTCGATTGCAAACCAGAGACACAATTTGTCGTAAACATTGATGCACTGAAGCAAAACATTCAAGCAAATACCGTTATTACATGAATGCCTCTAAACTAGGAGCTCTGTCTCCTGGGACCTGGAGATCTACATTGAAAACCCACAAAACGAAATATAATGTTATCTATGAAGTCCGTGCAATAACTGTATTTTAATAAATATGGCACCAACAGAGGTTAATATAATTACCGTAAGCTAGGAGATAATTAAGTTAATCAACCTAAGGCCGTTTTGACTGTAAGAGAGCCTTATCCGAATACTTTTCCAGAGATCAGCTTTGCATCATATGGATACTAGGGCACTCGCGAATTATCGACAACAAAAGACAAAATGTACTTATTGATGAATTCAAAATCGTTCGACGCTAAAAGATCTGAGTAGTAGTGTAATATTCGAAAAGTACCAGAAATTTAAAGTAAATTTCGAAAGGTGAGCCTATATGAATTTATCATTGACGAGAGAATCCCTACGGCCGCATGGAATAATGAAAGGGTGGATAGAATCAAGAAGATCATATGAAGTGAACCTAACGACAGCAGGACTAGAAGTTTCGTAATGGTACGTATTCTGAATGGACACGCGGGATAGGGACAATGATACTCTGGAATATTTTTTTTAGTATAGCTAAGCTTTCATCGAAATGAGATCCCAATACCTTGAGAAGATGCTATTTCGATATTACATGCCTAAGGAATACTGATTGGAACATTCTAAGGAACTACGTATAGGAAACTGAGTTTCTGAATACCGGACGATAAAACGCACTGCAGGACCAATAGCGTACTAGATGTATTTCTCCAGATCTGATGTATTATATATCCTTCTTTTAGTCATTTTTTTGTTTAGTTTTTCTTCAACTGATCCTGAAAACGCCATATTAAGAAAATCTGCATAAACTTCGTTTTTATATCGGGCTATTTATTGTTCGAGAACCTATGATCACATTGTGGGCTCTCATTCATCTGCAAAACATCAAGGATATACACATGTAGATTAGATCTTTTGGATCTTTTGAGCATCCCGTTCGTTCACTATAACAGGATTAATTTATGCATTAAAATAACAGACTTAATTGGTAAGAGGTGGAATATATCTTTTGAGTCAAAAATTTTGCTTTTTCGAGACCTTTATGGCAAATACACAATATGTTTTCAGAGGTTTCTTCCTAACCGCCATAAAATCTACATACATAGATTCGATTTGGGCCGCGAACACTGTCCAGAAAGAGGCACGGGATTGGGAATCTTCTCTGAAAAACAATTTCTTCTGCTGTCTCTTCGACTACAGCCGCGAGAAGAATCCGGGAACTAAATCTTGGACAACCTTGCATCGATCAAGGCTCTTAACTCCAATGTTATTAAGTCGAAATGTCTTCTCAATTGTATTCAATCATTCCAGATTCCAGGACATGAGGGCATCCGGGGAAATTAAATATATGATTAATGCTCAACCATAGGGTCGTCCCTAGACTTAATTCTTGCGAAAAAGGATATTCACACTCCCCTAACAAAACTTATAAATGAATGGGTTTTAAGTGAGACGGAACTCAGGTGGAATTCACCACTTGTAGAATATCGAGACTGTTCTGGCCCACTCTGACAACAGATAGGACTAGGACTCTCTTGTCTCTTAGTAAGAACTCGATTAGGCTACTAACTGGTATAATTACTGGACACTATATGATTGGACATACATATGTCGGAACGTATGGGCTACCAAGTAATAGCTACTGTAGAAGCTGCTTGGACGAAGAAGAAGTGGAATCGGTAGAACTCCTTCTATGTGACTGCCCAGCCTTACAAGAGCACAGACTACTCTATCTTGGTAGAGCTCTTTTCCATGACCTAAATTGATTGCCAGAGATCAGAGGGTATCACAATGGGCCACAAGGCCTCCGAGTGAACTCGCTTGTTAGCGAGCAATCCTCGTAATCTAACATAACCTTCGATGTAGCATTTTCCAAAATGAATTGATGTTATCTGAGACCACAGTGTCTCATAAGTAATTCCGTTTTGGGATTTTCCATTTGATAGCGTTATTAAGTGCTTTGTCAGTCTAAGACCTGTTGTAAATGTAAAAATAAATGTTATAAAATTCCATATAATGACTATTACTCCCAGCTTAGCGTCAAAACACTTTGTATATATATTGCATTTCTTATCAATCACAAAATAATCGATGATCATTCATAAAAATGTCATATTAATTTTGACTAAAATATGTATATTTCAAATCAAACCTATAATTTAAATATTAATTATTTCGAACAAATAGACAAGCATGCAATTATTTGTTAACTACTTTATTCATTAACTATTTTATTCTAAAGAAATTAATTTTTGAAATAATTTTTTAAATTTTATTTGTTTATTAAAACCATATAAATACACCATTAGTTATAGCGAAAAACATCAGTTCTAAATTAACAATAAAACAGTTTGAGTTTAACCAGCAGTGAAAAATAGTTTAATAAAAATGACAAAACTTTTCGTAACTTTGGCAATTTTGTGTGCTTTTGGTGCTGTTGTAGTTAGTGGTTTCGATAAGGCAGAAGCTATGATCAAATTTATGACTAATTTGGAGGAATGCAAAGAGGAAGTTGGTGCACAAGATTGTAAGTATTATATAAACAATTAAATAATAGCATTTAAGGATTTCCATCAAAAACTTTACTTGAGTTTCTGGACCTTAGGATAGACATACTTTAACACTAACAACTAATCTACCGAAGTTACCCAAGATTCTCAATTATTAAACTTAAAATTCTTTAAATGTCATTTTTAGCTGATTTTGAGGAAATGGTTGCTAAAAAACCTGCTTCCACTATGGAAGGCAAATGTTTACGTTCATGTATCATGAAGAAATGTGGTGTGGTAGGTGAACGTTATTGAATAACATGAACATACATATATTTAATAAATTTTTACTCCTTTAGATGGACGGTAATGGAAAATTCGATAAAGATGCCGCAATAGCTAAAGCGGAGCAAATGACCGATGGCGCTGAAGATAAAATGAAAATTGCTCATGAAATAATTGATGCTTGCAGTGGCATTGAAGTATCAGATGATGAGTGTGAAGCTGCCGAACAATATGGAGAATGTTTCCAAAAAGAAATTGAGGCACATGGTATTAAAGATGAAGATTTTATGCATTGAAAATTCCATGTACTTATGTAGTCTATGTAGACAAATGATTTAAAATTAAAATAAATTTATATATGCAAAATTTATGATTTTATGCATTCATGCACCATATATGTGACAAAAGTAGACTTTTCTGTGGAAATCCTCATATGTAAATAATTGTTAATATGTACATTAGGTCAGGTTAGGTTGAAATACACCTAGGCTACTATCGGGACTGTTGTGCGCTCCTTTTCATGAAGAAAAATGTTCACTGAATGTATTATTTTTCAACGTTCAGAAACTCATTTTCCTGGACGTAATTTCTAAGAATTTTCCAATCAGTGTTAGTGAGAAATGTTATTTCCGGAATAACATCACTTCCAAGATACTTGGATCTAACTTCGACGAATGCCTGACAATGCAAAGAAAATGCTTCAGAGTTTCACTGTTCTCTCCACATGCTCAACATTCGACTGAATCCGCCCCTTCAATTTTGTATAGATGTGCTCGTAAGCCTGTGTGTCCACTTAGAATACGTACCATCATACTAACCTCAGACTTGTTCATTTCGAGGAGATTTCTCGTCTTGCACTCATCAGGGTCATCCCATAGGATCTTTGTGTGAGAAAATGTTATTTTGAATATTAACATTCTGAAAATGTTCAAGAGTCACGGAAAAATACGACAAATGATATCGTTTAACCTTCCTATAAACGCACGTTGCTCTGTGAACTGATTTTCGTCCTTATTAATAACGAGTTAGATTTGCCAGATACATAACTCGGCTCTGAAATGTCGTTTCTTGAGGAAGTTTTTCTTAATTTTAAAGTTTCTTTAATGTTTACCCTGATAAACTTTTGTTTCAACAACTAGGTATCAGTGCCGATTCACACAGGCGAACTTTTTTTGGGAGAGAACGAAATATCTACCAACTCTTTCTCTCACACACAAAATCAAAAGTTTCCCAAAAAAGTTTTCCTGTGTGAACCGGCACCTAATTGCATTAATTTGTTTTTGTATGAATGAGAAGAATAACAAAAGTACTGGTCTACACAAGGAAACTTTAGTTGAGAATATTTTTCTTAATACTCTTTTAAAGTTTCCTTTAAAACTTTTCTTTCAGCAACTACGTGTTAGAACTGGTTCACACTGGGAAACTTTTTGGGAAACTTTTGATTTTTGCGTGTGAGAGAAAGAGAAAAAAATATACGATCTCTTTCTCTCACACACAAAATCAAAAGTTTCTCAACAAAAGTTTTCCAGTGTGAACCAGGTATTAATTGTATTAATTTGTTTTTGTATGAATGAGAAGAATAACAAAAGTACTGGTCTACACAAGGAAACTTTAGTTGAGAAAATTTTTCTTAATTCTCTTTTAAAGTTTCCTTTAAAACTTTTCTTTAAGCAACTACGTGTTAATTGCATTGATTTGTTTATGCTGGTCTACACAAAGAAACTTTTTTTGGGAAACTTTTGATTTTGTGCGTGAGAGGAAGAGAAATAAATATCATTCATCTTTATCGCGGTACGGAGTTTCTCGTACTCGGAAACTGCCGGTCCACACTAGGAAACTATTTTTGGGAAACTTTTGATTTTGCGTGAGAGAGAAAGAAATATCATTAATCTCTTTCGCAGTACGGAGTTTCTCGTACTCGGAAACTTGTTTTGTTTTGCTATTCTTCTCATTCGTACAAAAACAAATCAATGTGACGGTCGACACACAGAAACTTTAGTTGAGAAAGTTTTTCTTAATTCTCTTTTAAAGTTTTCTTAATGTCTACATAGACCTGGTCCACACTAGGAAACTTTTTTTGGGAAACTTTTGATTTTGCGTGCAATTAACTCGTAGTTACTGAAACAAAAGTTTCTATGTGTGGACATTAAGGAAACTTCAAAAGAGAATTAAGAAACAGTTTCTCAACAAAAGTTTTCTAGTGTGGACTAGGTCATAGAAACTTTTGTTTCAGAAACTACGTATTAATTGCATTGATTTGTTTTTGTACGAATGAGAAAAATAACAAAACAAAACGAGTTTCCGAGTACGAGAATTGGAATTGGATTTAATATTTCAAAGAATATCTTCTAAATGCACAATTTCAATGAACTTGAAAATATCTAGAATACAAAATAGACCTAACTTAGCATAATTGGAATTAAATTGACGAAAAAAACTGAAAATATTAAATGAAACATCTTTAATATTTGGAAAACGTTTGCTATAAGTTTACAAATAGGGGAGACTGGGGCAGATTCGACACTTTTTGTTTAGAGCTCTATATCTAAGTACTTATTCAACAGATATAAAAATGTTGTCGCTGGTTATTGTTCTAAGATAATGAATGATAAAAACTCGTACCAAAAACTTATGATAAATTAGTATTAGTTACATATTTTTAGAGTTTGTCAAAACAGTCAGATTCGCCGAAGGTGCCCCTAACCGGGGAATGTGGGCGACGAATGTGCCCACATTCCCCGGTTAGGATTATAAAGTAAAACTCCATTTAATAAAAAATTAGACACAGGTAATTCAGTAATTATTTATAAGTTGAAGAAAACTAATATAAAATGATTACATTTCTTTTCTTTAAACGTAAAATATATTGTCTTGCTAAGCTGGTTTTCGAAGCGTTAATGTTGGGTTTCGCTCCATAAAACCATAAAGCCAATCTTCGCCTGCTTCTTTCATAATGTTTCATTTCTCAGCAAAAGACTTTTCGTTAAGATTGGCATATTCATAAGCTAATTTCCGGAAAGCCTCATAAGTCATTACACACATTTCTTTATGTATTCGACCAATTCAAGCACTTCCTTTTTGGTAAATACTTCCTTCGTAGTAAACTTAGATTTATAAATATCATTGCTTGCAGTCTGGTTGGAATTTAGATCCTCTAAGGGATATATTTTTTTAATACGCAATTCAATTGTTTGATTATTAAGGCTATATTTTCTAGCGGCGGACGTTGGCGTCTCAAGGCCACACAAAACATTAGAAACAGCTTTTTCCATCGCATTTTCGTCAATAGAAGCGCGTTAGGTCTTAGGCTTGCAATTTCGAACCATATTAAAGAATTTTTTAAAGACAAACCGAAAAATAATTTCTTTAGTTTTTCCTTTTTTCTATTAGTCTTCAAAAAACATTATGATTTGACTTATTTTTGTAAGAAAATACATAATATTTAATGACTTTTTAATAACGCTGTCTTAAAAGTTTAAAAATTTCATATACGAAATAATTACCAAATGGAATGAAATATTACAAAAACACCTGTAAAAATATTAAAACACGAGCAGCTAAATAAGCATATTAGCAATAGGTGGCAAACTTTGAGGCAGTTATTTATTTTGATATCCGATACCTATACATCAAACCTAGTGATGTACAATGAGAGCTTTACATCAATAACGCCATTGCCGAAAGTACCCCAATGCCGGAGCTGCCCCAGTCTCCCCTACATACTATTTTTGAAACCGAATGAAAGGTCATTTCATTTCTTTTTCCGTTAAATGTTACATCGGGCGTAACCTAAAATTTCATGTTTTCTACTGTTAATATTAGGACAAATATACAATTAATTATTCACTAATTAATTTTTATTCAGTTGTAATTAAATTAAAACAACAATAAGTTTCATATTAAATATATTTGTTTTGTCGTATAAATACACGAAAAGTTTTATTGATAAAAATCAGTTATAAATCAACCTCAAAACAATTTGTATTTATTTAATAATTTGTTAATAAAAAAAGCTATTAAAAATGACAAAATTATTGGTAACATTGGCAATTATCTGTGCTTTTGGCGCTGTCACTGTTAAGGGATTCGATAAGAAGGCAGCAATAGCAGAATTCATGACTTTTACGGATGATTGCAAAGGAGAAGTTGATGCCAAGGATTGTTAGTATTATATAAATAAATTCAGAACTAGTGGTCGGTTACACGAATAATATTTAAAATTGTGTATATGTAATTTTTAGCCGATGTTGAGGAATTAATGGGTAAAAAACCTGCCTCTACAATGGAAGGTAAATGTTTACGTTCCTGTCTCATGAAAAAATACGAAGTAGTAAGTCGTCTGTCTAACAAAAATTAAACAAAATCTAAATTATTTTACATTTTGCCCTTTTCAGATGGATAATAATGGTAAGTTCCTTAAGGATATCGCCTTAACACATGCCCGCAAATACACCGATGCCTCAGAGGAAAAAATTAAAATTGCTCAAGAAATAATTGATGCATGTGGTGCTATTGCAGTGGCTGATGATCATTGTGAAGCTGCCGAACAGTATGCCAAATGTTTTAGTGATCAAGCCAAGGCTCATAATGTTCAAGATGATTTTGATTATTAAAAAAAATTTTAGGAAATTGTCAACAATGACAAAGTGAGATTTTTGATTTAAATAAGTTTATGTAATATTTTTCTGGAAATATTTATCAAAAGTAATATAAATAACCCTAAAACTAATATATCGTCACCTAAAATGCAAAAGGGCTGTAACAAGCAAAAATTTGAAAATTTACTTTTTGATTGGAAATGATGCACGGCATAATGTTGTCAGATATTTTCAGAACTCTATTATCAAAAAATCCGATTTTATTAACGAAATTCAAACATAAACTGGTGTTCAATATGAAGTCTAATAAATGGCATAGGTCCAATAATGCATCCATTCTGAGAAAACTTGATGTTGTTATTGTGAAACTTATTACTTCAAACTTTAACATGATATTAATAATAAGAAATTTTTCAACATCAGAGTGATTTTTTTAAGAGATCCTCCTTTGAGGGCTTAGTTCAATTATAGGCTAAACTGTTAAGGGATAAAAATACATACATATATTAATTTCTAAAAACCAATAATATAATTTTATTCAAACAATTTTATAAAAATAGGTTAGGTTGATAGGAGGATGTATACTACATCAAATCCGAATAAATACACCTAGGCCGGTTGTGCACTCCTTTTCGTGAAAAAAATTCACTGAACGTCCAGTTTCCTGGACGTAATTCCTAAGAATTTTCCAATCAGTGTTAGTTAGGAATGTTATTTATGGAATAATATCACTTCCAAGATGCTTGAATCTAACTTCGACTAATGCCTGACAGTGGCAAAGAAAGTGCTCCAGAGTTTCACTGTGCTCTCCACATGCCCTATATTCGTCTGAATCCACACGTCCAATTTTGTATAGATGTGCTCGTAATCCTGTGTGTCCCCTTAGAATACGTACCATCATACTAACCTCGGACTTGCTCATTTAGAGAAGATTTCTCGTTTTGCTCTCATCAGGGTCACCCCATAGGATCTTTGTGGTTCTACTCACCGTTTCATTATTCCAAGAGGCCTTATGGGATTCTCTCACCCATATTTTTAATTCAGTTTTTGTTGAGTCGAATGATTTTGCGTTTCTCAGGATAACTACCTCGAGCTCCCTTCCCTTTAAAGTTATTACATTCGCCCTATCGTTGCCGACTACTCCCGAGTGACCTGGTACCTATATAATGTAAACCTTACCTCTGGGAGAATATTAAGTTAAAGCTTTCTTACAATCCAATACGGTCTTAGATTTAATTCTATCACCTGATATCCCTCTAATTGCCTTCTGGCTGTCGGTAAATATATTAAGTCTTGTGGGCGCCATATTTATTCTAATCCTGCAAGCTTGTGTTATGATTACATAAACGGTGGTATATTTCTGTTTCTGGGTCTTCAATATAGAACCCCAGGCCCACTTTGCCCCCTAATTTAGAGCCATCCGTGTAGCAACGGATTCCTACTGGTATTCGCTCTAATGTTCCGCTTGACCAAGACATTCTATCTGGGATCAGCGTTTCAAAGTTTCCGACATATTCTGTATCTGGTAGTTACATCTAATACTTCTTCTCTGATTCGATTGACGAAGGTAGCTTTATAACCTAATTTTAATGTGATCAAGTCTTTAGTATTAAGGAAATCCATAAGGGCTTGTCCCCTGTGATTGGTGTTTGTACTACCCCAAACTACATGATGGGAATTGGCATCACAACCTATTAAAATATTCTTATTTTTCCTTTGTGCCTCTTCAACCAGTTTCATCAGATCCGACGTTGGTTGTAGTGTCGGAGAATCGAAGGGCAGGTAAACGGATGCAAGGTATATGTTGCCACGACCTTGCATCCGATGTGGAAAATTCTGTTGGGAGGAGCAAACATAAGTTCTTGTGACATAAGATACAGCGTAGAAAAGTTGGAATTAAAGCAACATGCATCTTACCTGTGTTAATTTTAGCCATCAGAGCGTTGGTGGCGGTCTCGCTCTGATGGTGGATTTATTTGGATAACCTCAATCATGGTCATCAATCAATCAGTCTTCAAGCGAGTTACTTTTCACCTCCTGACTCTTTGGACTCGATTCTTCCGGGTAGCCTGAAGTGGGTACCTACTATTGATGGCACTGCTGTGTCCTTATCTGACATAGGAATAGCAGTCTTTTTAATCGACACCTTCCCAATTTTGGAAAGCACTGCTGTTCTGTCTTCTAGCGAGTGAGTGATTTCCCCCTCGCTTTTAGGATTTGGCTACTTAATATTACCAGTTGCTAATGATGCTTTGGGTACCGTCTTATGTGTTTTAGAGTCCTTGTTGGGGCCGGTTTTGACAGCCCTTTCAATCGGCGTCTTCTCAATTTTGGAAAGGGCAGTTGCACTTTCTTCTACCGAGTTAGTTGTAACTTCCTCGCTTTTAGGATTTGACTCCTCAACGTTATCAGTAGTGGCTACTGATGCTGTGTTCTTAGGTTTTTTAGTGTCCTTTTCGAGGCTTATTGTAACAGCCCTTCCAATCGGCACCTTCCCAATTTTGAATATGACAGATTTAGAGGCGAAGTAAGCTCTACCTTTATTCTTGGCAAGACTAGCCATGGAGTTCTTGTCGATACCTATTACAAATAGAGTTCCCTCAGGTTCTTCTTTCCTGTAAAAGACATCCCATTTTTTCACGGCCAGGTCAGCATTTTGACCTACAAGAATTTCAGTTTACTGCCCCATCCTTTTATGTAGACAGTGGACTTTAAGAGCACTGGAAGCTCGCTCTTCTTTGCCAGTCCCCGCTTAGCGCCGTACCAGGGAGTTCTTTAGGGTGCTAACACATTGGTGAGATGCCAAACTCATCAACATCACGCCTATGCTGAACTCGCAGCTCAGGCTTCCTATTGGTTGTTTGCCCTTTGAAGCGATTGCGTGGTCCACTATCTTATTGTTGACCAGATCTTCTATCTTACTCTGCTGGTCTATTGGAATTTTGCCTGTCGGATTACCGGCATCGTAAACTGCATAGCAGAGATCCTCCCGGTGTCTGACTTGAGGTTACTTTAAGTGAAGTAAAGCTTGGCTTCGCCTGTGTATTAGAAGACGGGAAGCTCTTTTTTAGAGCTCTCTCCGAGTACATCCTTCTCTTTCACCCCTATGTTTATGCCAATGGCATGCTGTACACTTGAAGCATTGTGCGCCACGGAGGCCAAGGTTCCCACCTCCGTAGTAGTCTTTTGCTTACGATTGCAGGATGACGACGACACGTGACTCGCGAGTAGATCAACACTTGCCGTCAGTACTGGTTTATTTAAGCCCTGCACCGTAACTTTTATCTTTTTATTTTCCATATTGTTTTTTTCCAGTTTTTTGGTCCACTGGGAATATAATATTCCCAGGTGGTCCTTAGGAGGTATTATCGTGGGTGGTGCACAATGCATATTCCATGCGCTTTATCCATAATAGAATCTACGGTTAAAAGAGTAGGGGCAACTAACGGTAGTCAACTTACCACTAGGACATTAAATGACTTTTGGACTAATGACATTGACATGACTAATTATAAGGCCTTCGACTTCACAATGGGCAATAGAGTACAAACTGTTAGTTTTTAACTTATGTTATTGTGATCTTTGTGGAGTTCTTGAAGATTCGTCTCATTAAGTGAGAACCTATAAAAGCGGACTTTTTAGTACTTTATCCTTCTTAAAAATGTCCTTTTTAAATATTCTATAAAATTAAACCTAGAAACATAAAATTAAAAGAGGGACTTTTTGATACTTTTTCGTTCTTCAAAATGTACCTTTTCAGTTTAGAAACATTAAATTAAACATATATATAGATGAGAACCTAAAAAGGGAACTTGTTGGTACTTTTTTATTCTTCAAAAGATACTTTTTGAATTTTCTATAATATTGAACCAAGACACATGAAATTAAGCATGTTCTATAATATTGAATCTAGAAACATAAAATTAAACATTCAGAATCTTAAGTGAATGAAAATCTGTAGGAAAGGATTTTTGGTACTTTTAAAAGCATCTCAAATATAAGCAGCATGCTTATGTAAAGGTACGATGGGTAGAAACGGCGTTGAATGAAGTTGTCCACTATATAGGTGAATCCTTCGAAAGCAAACTGTATACACTGGCGGTATGTATTGACATCGAAGTCACCTTCAATAACGTACACACTGATACTCTTATCCAATACTTAGACCAGTTTTATGTTGACCGGGTGCTCCGTAACTGGTTCAACTACATGCTAAGGAACAGATGGATAAGCTGCGAGATGGTCGATATAACCATCAGAGTATTTCGCGGTACACCACAGGGCGGCATTTTGTCCCCTTTACTCTGGGTAACCACGATAAATAGCCTCCTAAGGACCCTAACCTAGAAAGGATTTAGACCTGTCTGTGGCAGACGATTTCGTAATACTTCTAAGGGGAAAAGATCAAAATTACTTGTGTAGAAGGGCTGAGGAGGCTCTGAACACGGCCTTGAGCTGGGCTCAACCTAGAGGCTTCAATGTTAACCCGTCGAAGACAGAAATATGTCTCTTCACAAGAAAGATGGTGACAGACAGAGTTAAATACTTAGGTGTAATACTTGACATAGAGGAAAGGATTAACAAGGCACATCGGTGCTGGGCGCTATGTAGAAGAACCATAGGCATGAAATGGGGCCTTAGTCCTACTATGACACATTGGCTCTATAAAAGTGTAATTAGACCCATCCTATACTTCAATAATCTGGTGGACTTCTTTCGAAAAAAAGTGTAGTATCAAACTACTACAGGTAGTTCAGCGTACATGCTGCTTGGGTACAAGTGGAGCCATGAGCACTACGTCAACGAAGGCTCTGGAAACAATGCTAGATATTCCACCCATTGAAACATACATATATAAGATATGAGACTGCACTTACAGCCGAACGGCTCATAACTTTAGGCGAACTGGCCAATAGCGGTTATAGGACACGTCATCAATGTATACTGGACACATTAGAAGGCTTTACACAATCATCGGACGTGTCCGATCGCATACCAGAGACAAAATATGTCGGAAGCTTTGAAACGTTGATCCCAGATAGAATGTCTTGTTCAAGCGGAACTTTAGAGCAAATACCAGTAGGAATCCGTTGCTACATGGATGACTCTAAATTGGGAGACAAAGTGGGCTTGGGTTTTTATATTGAAGACCCAGAAACATAAATATAC